CCCGAGTCCTTGATCATCTGAGCATAACAATTCGCAATCTGGGCGATACTCTCTCCATCGCAGAACAATCCAGCATTGAAAAAGTAAGGCGATTTCCTTCCTGACTTCAAGGTGAATGGTCCGTCGAAACGGAGGATGTTGCGAGAGAGGGAGAGGGAGAGGTAGGAGGTTTGATAAGGCTTAAGCGTCGACGACGACATATTTGCGGGCGAGATCTAGCGACAGATTGGCGGGTGTGCTCGGCGTATCGCTGGTTCCTGTCAAGGTAGAATGGTGTGCGATATGATGGTGAGCATACAGAAGCGAGTCGGTCTGCTGGGAGCCGCAGAAAGGTCGCGTCCGCTTTACGCCTGAACAGTCGCTACTGCAGAGTCACGAAGTGGGTCGCGAGTCGGAGAGTGTAAGAGCCCTTGGTACTTCGTGTGCAACGTGCGGTAGGCGTCAACTTGCACTCTGATTGGTGTGTAATTGATTGCACCTCGGTCCGCCCAGTCTGTAATTGCAGACGTGGAGGCAGATATGGTGATTTGTATTCGGAACGATACAGCACGGACAGGGATGCTGAAGGGGAAGGTCATAGGCGCGAAATTGGAATCAAGAATCAAGGTACAGTCGTCAGTAGGTAGCTACACCTAAATGATCTTTTTTATTTGATGTGTTGCAAAGCCTGATCTTTGAATACGGCGACGCTTGGGTTGCTCACGTGATGCAATTAGCGCAGGTCTGCTGTGGAGGATTAGAAGTCGATTACAAGAGGTGATCTCAAGTCAGGTCGCCATGCTGTTTGTTTGTTGCCATCATTTTACCATCATTTCCCTATTTCGGTAGAAGAGAAGCAGTTGAGGAGCGCACATTCGTCCGTTGGGTGGATCAGGAACAGCACTTTCGTCATCCTGAAGCTCGAGAGGCGCGATCGAGGTGCCACGTACAAGACGATTATTCATTGAATGTGTGGCCACGCTGGACAAAGCCTGCCGCAACTTCTTACGTATACTTGCGCATCGCCCAACAGGGCGTGCGGCACTTCGCGCTTTCAAATCCGCTCCCACAACGCGCTGCTCAGGACACTTAGACTGGGCAACTGACCGGAGCATACATCCTGACATTTCTGCATCGCTTCAGACAAGTGATCACCAAGGAAAGGAAAGTTTATAGCTGACTCTGCTTCGTTTCATCGAGCTCCGATCCTGTCGCGCGAAATACGAAGCGATGTCACAAAGTACAACGTCAACATCATTTGCGGTTGCTGCAATGGCGCGCACATGCAAAGGCACACGGGATTGGGACAGGATCAGCGCTCCCAAGCAGCTTCGAAGGAGCATACATCATTGCTCTTCATGGCCATTCCCTTCAATCTCAAGTGCTCCGAGGCCCTTCAAGTCGACGACGACGCACTCGAACAATCCAGCACGTTCGTTGCACACGCCTCCAACTTCTGCCGAACTTACTTTGGCCATTCTCAAACCCTCTCTTTGTTCCTAGTGAGTCCCTCGTCGAACACCTTATCTACAGATCTGAACATTTCTAACGTCTCATGAAATGGCTGATCCGACATTGAAACGATCGACTACATAGTCAACCGGACGTTTCGGCCGTTCTGAAAGAGCTGAAATTCAGCGGTCTCAATGTGCGTGTCGGAGCCGGTTCCAGGGATCATTCGATGGCACACGAAGTTCTAGAGAGCGCCCATCTTCGCACCTGTGCCGTCATGGTCGACCTTCATTCGCTCACTGCTGTCTTACACATCATTCATTGCAGCCCGTGCGAAGCAGAAGGATGCAGTGGACGCGTGCCCAAGCGGAGGAATTTTACCAGGAACATCGAGGTAGATTTTACTACGACCGGTTAGTCCTCGGCATGTCCTCGTAAGTGCATTCCTCTCGACTCTTGATCTCATATCATAGGCTCACCCAAAAGCCTCTCCACTTCGATCACTTTCTTGTTTCACCCCCACCCCCCCCCCCCC